TGACGTTTATTAAAATTGTAGTAGTACAAAAATAAGCTGATATTGGAATTTTAGTTTATGGGATATCATTTTAAAATAATTTTAAAGTAGGTGTTTGAAAACCAAGAAAAGGGGGGAAAATATATATAGTGGGACTATTGACTCCAAACCTTAGGCCTATATTGAGGCCTATATTGACAGCTAGTCCCAGCCTCCCTGATATATAGTACATAAACTGACTTTCTCCAATAGGCAAAAATAATGAGCAATTAAATTCCACTAGATAATAATAAATGAAATCTCAATCCTGAGTCATTTCAAGAGTGTATTTAGGATGCAGAAGAAAGCAAAGGAAAACAGGGTGGAAAAGAAAAGAGAAGAAGCGCAATTGGAATCAAGACCTGCAAATGACTTTTGAATGGGTTTGATCATAAATGAATCGAAAGGAAAACAGAAAAGGTATTGAATGTATTATCAGTGCATTCCCATAATAAATCACAGGCACTCCAGCACCTCCACCGGCTCTGCGGAGGAAGTGAACAGAGACGCAGCACGCTGGAGTCAAGTTTGGTTGAACTCCGATATGTTCATTAACACGACAGCGGTTGCGTTTCTCCACTGATGGATTTTATCATATTACAGATGTTTATGGTCGTGCTAACGGAATGGAAAGGACACCTGGATGAGCTGGACGACACATTCCACTGGAAAAAGTCTCATCCTACTTCCGGGTCTGCAGTTGTAGCGCAGGATACTTGTGTGCTCTTGGAGATCGGTAAGAATCGCTTGGAAGTGCAGCATTGAGCTCTTCCTTCGTAATCTAGCAATCTAGTTGGGTTTAATATGCAACAGCTCTTTGAACTCGGTCTCAAGTTCATGAATCTTGATGAATATTAGTTTTGTTTTGCACGATGCAATGGCTACAATACGTGTATACGAGGCAAGGACTGTAATAAAACACCATTCCTAATTTCCTATACGATAAAACTTGTAGAAACGAACTGCTCTTGAATCATAGATCAGATAGTCAGTGATGTAGTAGAGGTAAAGCTCGTCTTATGCTCATACAGCAGCATTATATAACCTCTGTTTAGGAATGAAGGGGCAGTTATATGAACACAGACTGGCCCGGTTTTCATGCAGGATTCTTTAGATCTTGAAAAGGTCTTTCCAGAATGACCTGTCCCTGTCTGTCTCAACAATTACATGTATCAAATAAACTGAACACCAAGGTTATGCAAGGATTCGCCCCCTGCCTGCCTAGTTGGGCCAGTAGTTCAGATATTTACTTTCCCTGCCAAATTTTTTATTTATATTTTTTTAGGCCAAGAAAAATATTTTTAAAACTTGAATTTTATAAGCAAAATAATAAATAAAACATTACAAAAATGTTATATTAATGTTAAAATGTTACAATAATATTAAATATTATAAGTAATAATGTTAGTAATAAGTAAATGAAGTTCATAATTAATATTAATTAATTATATTACATATATATTCATAAACACAATTTTGCTGAAAAATCTAAATATTGGTGACTGGTTTATAATTTTTAACCCGTTCAAACCTATGCCAACATTTTTACTGGTCCTACCACAAAAGTTGATAAATCTTATTTTTTGCTAAACATTTATGTGTGTACCAGAACTTAAGATTTTTCAATGTTTTTGAAAGAAGTATCTAATGCACACAGAGGCTGCATATATTACTTGATCAAACAACACTAATATTGTGAAATATTATTACAATTTAAAATACTGTTGTCTATTTTAATATATTTCAATATATAATTTATTCCTTCAAAGATTATTCTAATGATGGTTTTATATATATATAAGCTCATAAAAACTCATGACAGGTATAAATTCATAACATTCATATCAAACAATGATAATAATGCAGAACTTCACTAATAGATAAGCTAGATGACGTTACATTGTTGACATATTTAAATCCGCACATTTGCAACCTTATGTATTCTTTGCAAGGCATAAAAACAGATGTTCAAGGTCAACAAATATAAGATTTTGTGATAATGCAGCACTGGCAGATTAGCTCCAGTGACATTTCCATCAACTGGCCAGAAATAGTCTCACATTAGCACTGTTTATCCAATAATCATACAATAAAATAATACTCTGTTTTTCCTCTCTAGACCCTGTCTGTGTGTAACAGCTTTCCAGGGACATAACGATGGATTCCTTCGGGCGTGTGGAGTTCTTGCAGGCTCTAGCAGAGGGCTGTGTGCTGCCCACTGCCCAGCAGGGTTTAGAGCAGGTCTGGCAGCTTCTGCTCGTCTGCCTGCTGTGTCGGGTCATCTGTAGACTAGGTGAGTCCATCATGCACAACACCAGCCCTCAAACACCTGCTCAACTGTCTTCCCCCAAAGGATGGGAACATGGCGCAGTTGATTCTCTTATGGCTAACATCAATGCTTTTTGTCATCTGTTTCACAGCTATGTGTATTGTAGCGAAAAACTTCACACTTGATCTTGTTATATCCAACTCATGTTGGTGAATGGGTCCATCTGTTGAGTCTTGATGCGGCAAGCTAATGCTGTCTCTCTTTTTGACAGGTGTCTCATGTCATGTGAAGCATCTGAGCTCACTGGCGGGCGGCCTGTACGTGTTGTACACATTCTTTGAGCTGCTTACTTTCCCTGCCAAATTTTTTATTTATATTTCTTTAGTGCCAAGAAAAATATTTTTAAAACTTGAATTAGCCTATAAGCAAAATAATAAATAAAACATTACAAAAATGTTATATTAATGTTAAAATGTTACAATAATATTATAATATTAAATATTATAAGTAATAATGTTAGTAATAAGTAAATGAAGTTCATAATTAATATTAATTAATTATATTACATATATATTCATAAACACAATTTTGCGTTTTATTGTCTTATTTTTTGCAGTTACTATAAATCATTTATTATTTATTCTTTTTTATTATTAGTTCACTTCTGTGAGCTCTTTCTGTATATATTACGTGAACATTTTATTTATATGTATGTATACGTTATTTTATATTAGTTAGTTAGTTTATTTATATAGCACATTTTAATACAACAAAGCGTTGACCAAAGTGCTGTACAAAATCAACACAGTTTAAAAAACACATTTACACACCATAACACACAAACAGGACAGCTAAAACGTAACAAAATCAATACCTCAACACTCTGCTTGCTCAAACGCTAAGGAAAGAAGGTGAGACCTTAGGCGATACTTAAAAACATTTAGAGTTGGAGCATGTCTAATATGAGGCGGAAGCCTATTCCAGCGCTTTGGAGCGGCAACTGCAAAGGCCCGATCGCCCCTTCGCTTATACCTAGTCTTCGGTACAATTAAAACAGATTGACCAGAAGATCTTAAAGACCTAAAGGGCTTGTACACCTGTAAAAGATCCGACAAATAAGATGGTGCTAACCCATTTAGAGACTTAAACAAAAAACAATAATTACACTAGTGTTTAAACGTTTATATACACTAGTGTTTATAAAAATATACACTAGTGTTTAAACATTTGGGGTCAGTACTTTTTTTTTTAAAAAGAAATTAATGGTTTAATTCAGCAAGAATTCATTAAATTGTTCAAAGATGACAGTAGATATATTTAGATAACAAAAATATACTTCAAATAAATTCTGTTCTTTTTATTTATTAAAAAAAGAGTCACCGTTTCAACAAAAATATTAAGCAGCACAGCTGTTTTCACCATTGATTAATAAGAAATGTTTCTTGATCACCAAATCAGCATATCAGAATGATTTCTGAAGGATCATGTGACACTTCAAACACCTGCTCAACTGTCTTCCCCCAAAGGATGGGAACATGGCGCAGTTGATTCTCTTATGGCTAACATCAATGCTTTTTGTCATCTGTTTCACAGCTATGTGTATTGTACCGAAAATCTTCACACTTGATCTTGTTATATCCAACTCATGTTGCTGTATGGGTCCATCTGTTGAGTCTTGATGCGGCAAGCTAATGCTGTCTCTCTTTTTGACAGGTGTCTCATGTCATGTGAAGCATCTGAGCTCACTGGCGGGCGGCCTGTACGTGTTGTACACATTCTTTGAGCTGCACATGATGTGGGTGATTATCCTGTGCCTGCTTTGCTACCTCATCCTGCTCCTCAGCATAAACTCCAGCAGCCGAGGAGTCTTCCTTTCTGTCGTCATCCTTATTTACATGCTGATGGGGTCTGTCATTCACTTCCACACGATTGCATTTTATAGATAGGGCCTAATGAACACAGAAAATTGGTTCAAATTGGAAAAACTCACAATCACAAGTGGCCACATATTTTGATCATTTTTATTGCAGGGAGCTACACATGATAGACGCAGCGACCTGGCATAAGATGAGAGGTGTGTCTTCACTGAATTATTATTAATTGGAATGTTTTATTGAAGTTTTTTTTTTCATGTCACATAATTTTCATCAAATGACACTCATTATGGTGTCGCATTTCCCATACGGACCGTTTCGTTTGTGTCCAGGATCTCAGATGGTGGTGGCCATGAAGGCCATCTCTCTGGCCTTTGACCTCGATCGAGGCGCTGTGTCCTCTTTTCCCTCACCGCTGGAGTTCATGGGATACCTCTGCTTTGCGGGAACCATTATCTTTGGGCCATGGATCAGTTTCGCCAGCTACACAGATGCAATTATTGGGTGCAAAATGGTAAATACAATGATTTTTTAAATTCCTAGTTTTATTGTCTTATTTTTTGCAGTTACTATAAATCATTTATTATTTATTCTTTTTTATTATTATTTCACTTCTGTGAGCTCTTTCTGTATATATTACGTGAACATTTTATTTATATGTATGTATACGTTATTTTATATTAGTTAGTTAGTTTATTTATATAGCACATTTTAATACAACAAAGCGTTGACCAAAGTGCTGTACAAAATCAACACAGTTAAAAACACATTTACACACCATAACACACAAACAAGACAGCTAAAACATAACATAAACAATACCTCGACACTCTGCTGGCTCAAACGCTAAGGAAAGAAGGTGAGACCTTAGGTGATACTTAAAAACATTTAGAGTTGGAGCATGTCTAATATGAGGCGGAAGCCTATTCCAACGCTTTGGAGCGGCAACTGCAAAGGCCCGATCGCCCCTTCGCTTATACCTAGTCTTCGGTACAATTAAAACAGATTGACCAGAAGATCTTAAAGACCTAAAGGGCTTGTACACCTGTAAAAGATCCGACAAATAAGATGGTGCTAACCCATTTAGAGACTTATAAACAAAAAACAATAATTACACTAGTGTTTAAACGTTTATATACACTAGTGTTTATAAAAATATACACTAGTGTTTAAACATTTGGGGCCAGTACTTTTTTTTTTTAAGAAATTAATGGTTTAATTCAGCAAGAATTCATTAAATTGTTCAAAGATGACAGTAGATATATTTAGATAACAAAAATATACTTCAAATAAATTCTGTTCTTTTTATTTATTAAAAAAAGAGTCACCGTTTCAACAAAAATATTAAGCAGCACAGCTGTTTTCACCATTGATTAATAAGAAATGTTTCTTGATCACCAAATCAGCATATCAGAATGATTTCTGAAGGATCATGTGACACTGAAGACTGGAGTAATAATGCTAAAAATTTAGCTTTGCCATTACAGGCAAAACAAATTTCTAAATATATTAAAATAGAAAACATTTATTTTAAATTGTAATATTTTATTTTAATAATTGTAATCATATTTTTATTATTATTGTTTTGCTATATATTTTTTTTCCAAATAAATGCAGCCTTGGTGAGCATAAGAGACTTCTCTCAAAAACTCACTGACCCCGAACTTTATATAAATATGTATTTGAAGTATTTGTAAACACTGTTTTTGGTGATATATAAATAAAATTGTAGTTGCTTACACTCTGTCCAAACACACACACAGTCAACCCAAGCCAGTGTATTCATATAGAGTTTTTCCCAAACCTTATTGTTTCAAAGCAGTTTTCAGAAAGTATCTTTATATGCAGATATTGACATTAAAATAAATTGAATATGTTTTTCATGCTAAATGTTAAATGGGAAAAAATCATTGTTTTCTTTGAAGAGAAGATCATTTTGATTTATTCTGAGCATGTTTCCTTCAGCAGAGAGCTTGCTATACAGTAACTATCCTGCTATCTCCTGCAGAGTGCTGGCTGGTTTGGAAAGATTGCTCTGAGCTTTCTGAGGAGTCAGATCTGCCTGGTTATTTCCAGCTGTATTGCTCCTTATCTCTTTCCTTACTTCATTCCCATCTACGGTGATGGACTTCCTCGTAGGTGAGCTGCTTCCCTCCCTCCCCATTGGGATTCCATATCCAGAGGAAATGAAATGGCTAGCTTGAATGTTTATTTCATTTTCTGTTTAATATTGTTTTTATTGGCCTTTTGTCCTTAGGTGGCTTCACGCTTATGAAAATGCGGTGTCCTTCCACTTCAGCAATTATTTTGTCAGCTACTTGAGTGAAACAACCACTGTGATGGCTGGAGCTGGATTCTCTGAGCACAAAGACCACATCAAATGGTGCATACTCATGCATTTTCTCTCTTTATTTCTCTTTTGTTATTAAATAACAGCATTGTTGAGACCTAATGTGGCACATTTTCTCGTTCAAAGGGATATTACAGTAGCTAAACCTCTGAATGTGGAATTGCCGAGGTCTATGGTGGAAGTTGTTACCTCTTGGAATCTGCCCATGTCTAAGTGGCTTAATGCATGTATGTATATTTATTCAGGTTTGTGATCCAGTATTTATGCATATAAATGTTGTGCATTCATATAAATATTCCCTGTACATTTTAACACACAGACGTCTTTAAAAGTGCACTCAAACTTGGCACTTTTCCTGCCATCTTGGTGACCTACACTGCCAGTGCATTGTTACATGTAAGTATTATTTCCAGCTCTTTGGTTATTAACATTTTACCAAGGTTTGTTGGCACACAGAATCAGGTTCCATCTGTTTAAACAGATTTGAGTTTGTGTAAGGGTGAAAAAACACCTGATCCAGAAAACAGTTTCCCTGTAACATGACAGCTTGGATAAAGATGGGTTTCTTATCTCAGAACACCATGACCCAGATTTAAACTGCTGTCTACAGCTGGTGTAGATAGATAATTCAATCACAGCTGCCTACCCTGGCAGCTTATGCCTTGTCTTCTTAGTAAGCTATTGTAGTTGTGCATGTTAGGTTGTACTGTAACTCACTGTGTAGCTAAGATAAAATCGTTCATGCTATATTACCAGTTTGACCTTTAGGAATATAAGTATATAAGAATAACTGCTGGAAGTATTTTTAGGTATCCGTGCATCAAACTCGTCATGTTATGGTGACATGTGTTTTTTTTTTAGCCAGTCAAAAACATACTGTAAATGTGAATCTGTTTGGGTTCACTGACATGTAGAGGGTAGGTTTAAAAGAAAGGACATGTGGGTGTAGGGGTGAGTGCAATTTGTTGCTAATTCTGGCAGAAAATAGCCAAAGGTCTAAAATCAATTAAAACACCTTTTATATATTTTGTGTGTTTTTTTTTCAGTTAGTATGTAAATTGTACATCACAGAACAGTAATCTACCACTGAACTAAGACAAATATTAGTGACAGGGATGCATAATTCAAGGTATTGTAGTTGGGTGGAGACCTCTGGTGGTTAATGTGGGACATTGATTCTAAATTCATTTACACTACCATTCAAAAATTTGAGGTTGGTAAGATTTTTAAAAATGTTTTTTAAAGAAGTTTTTTATGTTCACCAAGGCTGCATTTATTTGATCAAAAATACAGTAACTAATATTGTGAAATATGATTACAATTTAAAATAACTCTTTTCTATTTTAATATATATTAAAAATGTAATTTATTCCTGTGATGGCAAAGCTGAAGTTTCAGCAGCCATGACTCCAGTCTACACATAATCATTCTAATATGCTGATTTGGTGCTCAAGAAACATTTCTTTTTATTATCATTGCTGAAAACAACTGCTTAAAGGGGTCATATGATGCGATTTAAATTTTTCCTTTCTCTTTGGAGTGTTACAAGCTCTTGCAAAAACTAAAGTCTCAAATCCAAAGAGATATTCTTTATAAAAGTTAAGAGTCAACCACGCCTACCTAAAACGGCTCGTTCTAACATGCCCCCACATATCCTGTGATTTGTTTTTTATTTCAGGATTCTTTGATGAATAGAAAGTTCAAAAGAACAGCACTTATTTTAAATACAAATCTTTTGTAACATTATGAATGTATTTACTTTTGATCAATTTAATGCATCCTTGCTAAATAAAAGTTTGAATTTCTTTAAAAAATCTTACTGCCCCCAAACTTGATAGTGATGATGATGATAGTATATTTTCTTTTATTAATTAATTATGTGTTGTTTGCCAGGGTCTCAGCTTTCATCTGGGGGCCGTGCTGCTGTCTTTGGGAATCATCACTTATGTTGAACATGGTAAACAATAATTTTTGTTTATTCATGCATGCTTGCCATCAATAAAATAAAAACAGCTTTGATAGAATCAATTAATTAATTAATTAGATTTAAGTAAAAAACTGAAAATATATTAACACTAATGCATACAGTCATCATGGCACATATTTCAGTAGGTAGGAAATAATAACATCTATAATAGATGTCACATCATTGGTCTAACCAACAGAACTCAAATTCTGTCTTTGTTTCCTCTTTCAGTTCTGAGAAAGCGGTTGGCGGCGATTTTCAGTGCTTGTATACTGTCAAAGCGCTGTCCAAATGACTGTCATCACCAAAATAAGAAGGTGATCTGTCCTGCAATGCAGGATCAGCTGAATTCATGATAAAAACAGTTTGTTTGTTTTTTGGTTTGTGTAGTATGAGATCTCTAGTTCACAGATTTCCACTGAAATTTCTTATAGTGTTATATTTTTATATTGATATGTCTATTTCTTTTTTTTTTCTATTGTAGATGGTGTGGGTGTATGGTGTTAACCTGTTCTTCAGTGCATTGTCTATATTCCATCTGACATATCTGGGATCACTGTTTGACTCTGAAATGGACAGCATGCATGCTGAGGAAGTGAGCGTTTTCATATGCATATGCAATTTAAAAGTAGACACAATTTTATTCTAATATAAATATTCAGCTACTGATAAAAATATATTAAATTCAATTAGTAAGAATTGTTTTATCATGTGTTTTGTTTCCACACAGGGTTACATGGCCAGTCACACCATTCAAAAGTGGTCGGAGCTAAACTGGGCGAGCCATTGGGTGATGTTTGGCTGTTTTGTGTTTTACTGGCTCATTTAAAGAGAATACTATAGTACTGAGCAATCAAAGGACCATTCACTGAACCTGAACATGAAAGAAGGTGGATTCTTACCATTGACTGCATTTTTCAACTGTCAGTGTTACATGCACACTTCTGTCCCTCATCTGGAAAAGAGTGCCATGGAAAGTGCCTTATGACTCATGTTGTTAAAAGAATCATATTCTCATAATGTGGTCATACTTGTTCTTTTTATTTTGATTTAGATTTGGTACAATTTTGGATTAAACAAAAGAAAAAATATCAGTGTGCAGAGTATATTAAGTGTTATTTGTATCTCTTTTTTTTGTTCTCTCTGTACGGCTTGATATACAGTAGAAAGCATAGTCTCAGTGTGACCTTGTTATTGTCACTTTTATAAAACATGTTTCATATTTTTATCAAAAGCTGTCAATTAGGTCTGACAATAATATTTATTATTTTCTAATAAAATTTGCCAACATGACTATTTTTCATTGATTATATCTAAGTGCATTACTCAAGGGCACAGTGCATACTTTGAAACTTTGTTCTCTTTTATCCAAAGACACTTATTACTTATTTTGATCAGCCATGTGGTATCAAATGGTAATACCTTTTGATAAATGTACAGATATTGTGGAATACCATGGTATTTTATGGATGTCCAAAGTAAAAAAAAAACAAAACATGTACTACCAAGGTAGAAGTAAAAAAATAATAATAATAATAATAGTGTTAGCATAGTGTCATGCCCATAAACCACAGTAAAACATGGTTTTGGTTGGTTAATACTTTTAGTTAGAGGGGATTTAATAAAATCTGATACAAGAAAGTCCAAGTTTGGGCCACTTAAAATCTCTTACAGTATCTGAAAATAACATTTAACATGGTGGATAAATAGAGGAAAGTTAGCTGTACTTTACAGAGTAACGTAAATGAGTTACTTGATTGTGACCTCTGACCCAGTGGCGTGTCCCCCACAGTTCAGTTCACACGGTACTGTTTTAATATCGCGAGAGTTAGCACAGCTCCTCACTACGTAATGTGCCGTGCTGCTTATGGCGGCGCTGGTGACAGTGCTGAAAGCTGTTGGGGTGAGTTTTTCTAATATGTTTATTCAATTTTGCGGTGTCACATAACTCTTACACGGCTATATGAACGTTTAAGCCTCCGACGTTTGCGTTTATATCACTCTTTCTAAATATTCCTGCTTGTTTTGGAACAGTTAACGTATATGGTTTAGGGTGGGGGCAGTGTTTCCTCTGCGTGTACTCTAGCGGTTTAGCATGCTAGCCAGCGCTTAAAGCACTGTTACTGCAACAATACAAAACTAACTTCTTAATCTTCCACTCCCGTCATAGGAGATATTTTGTAAAGGTCACTTATTAAGAAACGAAGCGTCCAGTCGAGGCTTCAGCGCGGCAGCGGCGGCCCAACGTGACCCGACAGTCGCCGCCGTGCGCCTTTGTTGTCGGACTGAGTGATTTGTTTTAAGCCCGACAGGATCACGACACATAGTAAATGGAGTTAAACAGCTAAACCCAATTTTCTCAGGACAGGAAAAGAGTTTACTTGCTTTCCAAACGAGTTTTTACTAAAACCAGTGTTCTTATGGTCATGATGATAACCTGGACATATCATGGAATTTGGAAATTGTAATTTTGCAGGCCCTGGAAAGTAATTAAAATCAATTAAAAAATAAAAAACAATTTTATAGTGAACATATATTTTTGCTTAAACTGCTACAGAATTTTCTCTTACGAAATAAATTGCTTTTTGTAAGAGCAATTTTGGTAAAAAAAAATATATTTCCAACAAAGGCCGTTTCCATGGTTTTCCCGTTGAGGTTGAACAATTGATGGAAATACTTTGATTGAAACGGGTTGAGAACGGTCATATTCTCTTGTTTGGGTTTGAAACGCCATAGATTCTACTTTTAACCTTTTGTTTGTCTTCATCCAATATGCTCACATGAGTAGCATGTGTCTGAGTTGTCTTGTCTAAAAAGGCATTACTAGTGAATTTGTCTCTGGATGAGCTCCAGATGGATCCACTCCCAGCTGTTGCTCAAGCGCTGTTTGCGTCACTTAGCCTCATGTCCTGATTTTGTCATTTATGTATGCTCTGGAAATCTACAGTTTCTACTGGGGGTGCAGCGTTAAATAAATAAATGCAAATTTTGTAACACAAAATAAATAAAACTAATTTTATTAATTTGTATATTCATTAAAATTCATAGAAAAAAATTGCCTAAGCCTACAGTGACAATAAGCAACAGTAAAACATGAATTAAGTTTAATCAAATTGATTGTGAAAGTCGTTTCAACTTAATTAAACTTAGGAAGTCGTTTGTTGCCGTGACTTTTTGATCATATTATTACCTGTAACATGTCTGTGCCGGACCCAAATCAAGAATTAACAACCATTTCTACAGCCATTGCGAAGATAAAACCGAGAAAGACCAAGATTGGTTACCTCAGCAGCAACCAATAATAATAACAATCTCACATTCTTGCTGCTTCAGCACTTATTTTGATATTTAACGTTAGATCTTTCATATTCTTGGAACAAAATCCGCATTGTAACACAAATAAACAAACTTTGCATTTCCCCATTTTTTTTAAACGATCGTAGTTTGTGGTTCATTATTAGCCTAGTAATTAAAACACATCAGCCATAAAATAGTACAATGGCAAATTCGCATAGACCTATATTAAAGGGGTCATATGATGCGATTTCAATTTGATTCCCCCTTGTTTTCTGAATGCATATTATAGATCTAATTGAGAACAATTTATCTGCATCCACTTTTGGGTCAACGCACATCTCCAAATCCAGTTAACAACCAATACATAGATTAAAGTCCTCACCCTGCTGTTTTTTTTAATAATCCATTACAGTTGGATGTACGGCACAATGTGGAACAAAGGATCTTTAACTACGTCACTTTTTCATTGCGACTTGCAAAATAAAATTGGCTTGCTAGGTAATATGTAGTCTCCATCCATCTACTTGATAATTGTATACATAATCCATCAAAGCAAGTAATGAACTGGCCTATATATTAAGCTTTTTGATCCTCCCATCTCATGTGTAATAGACTGGAGGGAACTGAATGATTGGCATGCTGGATATGTGCAGTTGTTTACCTCTTGATTTGAATGTATTCCATAAATATTCAGCCAAATGCTGGTTCACGCCGAGACTTGTTGATCCTCATGTGTGTATTCAGTCAGCTGCTCTTCTGTACATGAGGCTGCTGAGGAAATGTTATTTTTAGACCTGTTGTATCAACAGGAGAGTAACATGGTATTTTAACCCACATTAAATGAATGTGTCTGAGGGGATTGATTGTGTTAAATCATATATGGAGGGTGGGGGGAGGGGCAAAATTAGTTTAATAAACTGGACCTGAATTAGATTAATATACTTATTTGTTGGACTAAATACATTTAATGTGTAACTTATCTGTGTGATCTAATATCCTTTTTTTTTCCACCCTCCCAAACAGTATGAAGTGAAACTGAATTGATTTTTGTACCATCTGAAACCTACTTCAAGTTCAGATCATTGATCGGTCAGAAGAAACGTCAAGGAAAAAGAAAACATAACGAACATCCCCAAAACGACCCAGCGGTACAGCAACTGTGAAGACAAGACCAAGACGAAGAACTGCACTGCTACAAACCAGAAAAACTAAAGCAACACAAAACAACCAAATGAGCAAACCAAAGATTTAAGAAACAGAACCAGGCCGCAACGAGCGTAGCAACCAGCCATCACCGTTAACAGTGAAGGCGAGACCTGATCTGAGACAAGAAGTTTGTGCCTACTCAACAGCTTAAAAAAAAAAAGCACACGTCCCAACGCTGCACCCAAGCCCTCCTTATCCTCCCCGCACCTCGTCCTCCTCTGGGGTGTGGAGAGGGCTGCTGTCTGCTAGTCTTTTCAGTTTTGACCTTTTTCTTTGTCAACTGCAGACCGAATCCCTCCCTCCCTGATCTTTTTCCCCTTCCGTTCCCTCAGTCTTTCTCTTGCATTTCTGTTCACTATTTTTCAAAAGCAGTGTTCATACACCTGCACTTGCCTTTTTATTTGAAAAATTTGTGTTTTTTTTTTTTGTTGTTTAGCTTTTTGTGCTTTTTTTTTTTTGCAACTTTTTGTAATTAGAACGTGTGCCAGAGAGGAGAACCTTACAAGTGTGTGTGCGCGATTGATTGGTCCAAATCATTACAGCCTTCCAAGACAACAGAACAAGGTAAGCCATGCCAGACACTCATCCCACTTTTTTTTCCCCCTTAATCTAATGAATAATCCTGATTTGTCTGGTTTGTTTTTCATGTATAATATACAGTGTGCCAAAAAAGGGCAATTGTCCATGCTGTTTATTGTGCAATCTCTTTAATTTAAAGCTGAAAATGTGTTGCTCTGTTCCAAAAACTAGTGAGCTACTTTCTAAGATAGCATCCTAACAGAAATTTAATGAGTTTAGCATTAGCATCTTGCTAAGTTAACTAGCAGTGCTAATAAAAACTGTAAAATATGTGAAACTGAAATATTAGATAAAATCTAACTGAAAAATTTAACTTTTTTTTTTTTTTTTTTTTTTATAAATCTAGATATTTTTAGTATGAACTGAATTAAAGAATATATTTTAATTGACACATCTCTTTCTTGGACCACCATCTTGGATGTTTTTTTTTCTCCTCTCCATTGCATGTGATTAATTGAAATGCTGCCTATTTAGTCATCTCAGTAGGTTTTGGAACAGAGATCATTCGTATTATCATGCTCAATATCCACCTTATTTTTCCCGTAAGAGCGGGCGCAGCCATTTGTAAATTTTATGGGACTGGTTTCATTCATGGTGTCATTCGCTTCCAGCTATTTTTTGTTGTACAAAGCTCATTTTGCTGTTTAAAATTGTCTTCCCATATTATTTGAATGTATTTATCTTAATTATGAACACAGTGGTTTGTAGTGCAAAAGATTTACAGTTTAAAAGTTTTACCGTTTAGTGCATTTTGTTATTATTTCCCTACAGCGGCTAATGAACCTGGAAGTCTTGCACATTCACAGAAAACAGCTTACTTCCGCATTGAAAAATAAGGTGGATAACTGACAGTTAAAGTTAAGAACTAATTGAGAATTAAAGGAATGGTTCACCCAAAAATTAATTTATTCACTCATGTTGTTCCAAACCGATAAGACTTTTTTCATCTTTAAAACACAGATGAAGATATTTTTAATTAAACCAGAGCGATCCATTTTTTTCATCAGTGGATGGACAAAAGATGTGAGAATAAATACTATAATTTGTTTTCCTAAAATGATTAAAAGTCTTATGGATTTGGAACAACAGGTGAATAAATGACAGAATTTCAGGGTGCACTATCCCTTTAAATTTTTTAAATTCTGATGATTGTACTGCAGTCCCCCCCCCCCCT